AAATACAAGAAATCACAACACGAGAACTCCAACAACCATCAAGAGCGTTTACAAAGAAACATGACAAATGGAAATCTCGCAGAACCAAAGGGAATGGCAAAACTTTATGCCATAATGAATGGATAAACACTAATAGCATTATACTAGTTAGTTTTAGTAAAATCCTATGTTGTAGTCAATCCAGCGGGCAGGGTTATAATCTTTTGGGATTTTTNNGGGTCTTACCCCACACCTCATGTTAGGATATTGGTTATTTTATGGATTAGGTTAAGTATTGTTTAGGTGCTTTGGGTTTTGGGTTGTGTTCTGGATTATTGTATTGGGTTGGTGGTTTGCTTTGCTTTCGGGATAATTGTATTGATTGTTGGGAGGTGCTTTGTGTTTTGAGGGATTTAAGGGTTGAAGTGTTAGGCAGTTTGAAAAATGGGGTGAAAGCGTAGGGGGAAGTATAGGGTATGAGGTGTGGGGTTGGCCTCTGCTTGCTGTTGAGTCGATCCGAGCCTTAGGGCCCAAGTACCCTAAATCCCTAAACCCCTATAGCCCCTATAACCCCTATAGACCCTCTAACCCCTACAACCCCCATAACCCTTGTAACCCCCAAACCCCTATAACCCCTAACCCCCCTACAACCCCTATACCTCCCTAGAACCCCTATAACCCCTACAACCCTTATAACCCCTACAACCCCTACAACCCCTATAACCCCTACAACACCTATAGCCCTTATAACCCCTAAAACCCCTATAGCCCTTATAACCCCTATAACCCCTATAACCCCTATAAGCCCTACAACCCTTATAGCCCTTATAACCCTTAAATACCCCTAAATACCCCTATAACCCCTACAACCCCTAGAACCCCTAAGGTTGTGCTAGGCCTGAAGCCACTTTGAGCGGACGTCTTGTGACGAGAGGCTCACTGGCTCCACTGCTTCTCCGGGGCTCTTCGAGGTGCGACCCTCCTGGGCAGACCTGGTTTAGGGTTTAGGGTTTAGGGCTTTGAGGGTTTAGGGTTTAGGGTTTGGGGTTTACTTCATCTATACGGACTTATCTACAGTATATCATGATATGGAGCCCGAAAAGGAAGGTTCTTGGGGTAACATGGGTTTCTGCGACTTTCCGTAAAATAGTCGTTTTCGACGACCGCTTGCGGCTGTAGTGGTGCAGCCGATGTTTCGTGCTCAGACTTGGGATTTTCCCTGCGTGCAACACGGATATGCGACTTTAG